ACCTGAGGCAGAGGCAAGACACCCAAATTCCTGACCCACCAAACTGAGGATCTACTGTGGCTTTAAACTAAGTTTGGAATGATTTGTTGGGCAGCAATAGCTAAATGATACAGTATTTTCCTCAGGAAAAAGAGCAAGGGATGACCTGAGGTTGGAAGAAGGGAGGATCAGCCCTAAGCACAGCATCCAGCAGGAAGTAAGCACATACAGTACTTTCTCATTTCTCTGTCTGTTTCATCAGTGTCCCCAAAGGCCCTCAACTTTCAGGGCTCCTGGTGACCATGGAAGACTCTTGGGGGTCACAGTGAAGGTGCGTTTGTGCTGTTGATTCTCAAAGACGCTAAATAACTTCCTGAATCACAGACCCTCCAGAGGAAGGCTAGGACGCTCTTTGTCCCCTCAGCTTGTTCCCCAGGGTTATGCTTACACTCTGACAAACAGCTCTCTGCATGGAGGGAAACTCTAATGAGAAAGGGGGTCACCCCTGGGCCCCTGGTCTGCCCAAGGAACACCCCCAGCCCTGCCTAACAGGAAAGCCAGCAGTGACTTGGGGTTGGTAAGGATTCTGGCCTATGCCCACATGCAAAGGTCAAAGAGGTGTAAAGACGGGGATACAAAGAGGCCTTGGTGGAACCACAGAGTCCAGGTTGGGGAAAGCTGGTGGGCAGAGACCTGTCAGTGAGGGGAAAGTACTCACTTTGCAGGAGACAGTCCCCCTAACCCCCAACCCGGGCTGGGGGACAGTATCCACTCACCAGGAGGAAGTCAGCAACTGAAGTTAAAGGAAGTCAGGTACCTTCACACTGTCAGTTAACAGCCCTTTGCTGAACAGCTACCAGATAGAGAAGACACAGCAGGCTCTCAAGGCAGTTCCCACAGGAAGCTTACAGTGACCCCCCATTCACTGGGGGTCTGTAGTGGCCCTTGGGCTCATTTTTTAGCGTGATAGCCAGTTACTCCATCCACAGAGCCTGGTGCTCAGAGTCGAGCTGCTTTTGCAATCAACCCCCTATTTGGGGAACTGAGAGCCACAGGTCCCACATCCTTCCTAGAACCCTTCAGACTCCAAATATTGGACAAAGGGTCTAAATTATTCTTGTCTTTTCATCAAGACAAGGGAAATATCAGACTAGAAGGACAGGAGAGAAGTGGGGACTATGGCAGTTATTCCCAACCAGCTTGGGCAGGGGCACTTTTGCTGGTTTCCAGGCTCCAAAAACATCCTGCTGAAGTTCCTGCTGAACATCCTACCTAATGATAGACAGACCCAAGAAAACAAAAGCTCCCCTGAGGCAGTGTGAGCCACTTCCGTGGCTGTCTGGGTGCTGAGCTCCCAGGAATTCTCATTTTCTTCCCAATGCTTCTCAAGAGCATATACATTTTTACAAAGAGCATTTATGATCTTTGCATTTGGCAGAACAGCCAATCTGTTTAAAAATCAGAGAATGAAAGCTGCTCATCCTCACTTCCCATCTCTCTTGCACAATGAAACACAGCTGGCTCCGTGGCTGTTTACAGATGGAAATTTTAATTTCTACTTAGCTGTCCTAAATCTCTCTAAGGAAAAATGTGGTCAAGAAACTAAAAAGGAAGAAATGCTGAGTGTAATTTTGCTTTCTGAAAGTATTTTTTTTTTTTTTTGCAAAAAGATTTTCTAGGTTGTATTAAACTAAAATTGCATTTGGTTTAAGTATAGACAGTATTTTTTGAACTTTGACACAGGCTTTTTCTTCATTTGCTTTCTCTTCTGTTTGGGGAGCTGAAAGGTAGACAAACGCAGATCTGGAACCTGTGAGGCCTGTGTGCAAATTCAGCCAAGTTGAGTGAGAGTGACATTGGGTGACTCTTTCATCCTAAGACCAGGGACAATATCACTGAACATCAAGCCACAGGCACTCCCTGGGGAAATGAACACAAAGTGCAGGGAGGCACCAGCTAATTAATCATTCTTCACTTTAAAAAATAATTGCTTTAAAAGTACTTGATGGTTTAATCATCTTAGCCAAAGGAGCCTTTTACCCTTGAACCAGAGAGGCAATCCCAGCTCCAATACTTAGAGGAAGTGACATTTTGAGAGCTTCCCAGAGAAGGGCTGTAATTACAGGGTGGCTCTAGCACAAGAACATTTGGGCCTGAAGTGGAAGCAATTGTTTCTGGTCTCTTAACAAAAAGCTCTGATGTGTCTACCCTTATGCAAAGACTATGCTGTGGGTTTTTTTGATTTTTTTTAACACTGTCAAAAAAAAATTATCCATGTGTAAATAGAGAGTGATACATAAAAACTAAGGCATTAAGGGGGTGGCCCCACCCCACCATCAGGCCCTGAATAGAGGATAATTCCAGCATTGTTGTGGGACAGCTGCACAGCTTCCAGCAGGAGCCCTTGGAAGCCTGGCACTGCGCAGAGGCCTTCCTATGCTCCCCAGTCCCATGGAGGCATGAAATCCTTCTGAGGGGTGTTTTCACCAAGGCTTGGATCCCCTGTTCACTGTTCAATCCTCAGACTCAGCTCCTGAGTAACCGAAGGCTGTTCCAACAGCATGTGGCATGCAGGAAGTCCCTTTAAGGGCATGCTGCTGAACCAGGGGTCCGAGGGGAGAAGGTACCAGAAAGGACAGAATTAAGGGCACCTAAGGATGCCCAGGGCAGCAATGTCTCAAGGCAGGGAGAGAGGGTGGGAGGGAAGGAGAAAGGAAGTTGATTAGTTAGTTGATTAACTGGTCTACCGTTGGCTAATGGGTTAGCTGAGCCCTTGCAGAAAGCTCCTCATTCATGGAGACAGTGAAAGCTCCTCAGCAGACCATAGTAGGAGAGGTGACCACTCCAGTCACTGACACATGCAGGACAGGTCCTGCTAAGGAGAAGGCAGCACCAGTAGCATCTGTCTTCCCAGGTACATCTCTGCATGTGAGTACCTTGCCTGTCCTGGGACCAGTGGCCACACGGACATATGCTGGGCCTCAGATGCGCCCTGGTGGCACAGGTGGCCCAGGAATGCTAAGCCAAGCCCCCACCCCAAACCATCTCATCCCTGAGGTCCCCAAACAGTCCCTGGTGTGCCCCCTCCTTAGGATGCCCTAGAGAATGTGGATGGTCCCAGAGCTGACCTAAAGCTATAGGACTAAGATAACTTTACTCACAAGCTTGGAAAAGGAACACGGTCTCCCGCACAGCTGGGGGTTGCTCTGGAGGGCAAGCTTCTGCTGTCAGCCACACATGGCACAAATGCACCCTCAGCTTCTCCACTCCACAGAAGCTGCCTTCAGGAGACACATGACCCCATTTATAGCTGAGGAAACATGGTCCCATGGCAGGGGTGAGGCCAGATTTCCGTCCACAGCTATCCTCCTTCAGGGGACAGCCCCTCATTGATCGGTGCCCACAGTGGCATGTGCCCACAGGGGCAGGAGGACATGTTCACTGACCCTCTATGTCTTGTGTGATCCTGTCTCCCAGGCTCCCAGATCTGTACCAGGCTCATAACAAGGTTGAAGAAGCCAGTGGTCATCCAGGAACCTCACGAAAGACTGGAGAGATGAGCCCTTTGCATATAAGGGAACGGAAGCCTGTGGCCTGGGCCCAGTGTCTGGGAGTCCTGAAGCCTGAAGATGAGTAGGCATCTTTGGAATAGAGACTGACCCTGGAGCATACACTGTGGGAGTGAGCCACCAGCTCTGGGTGACAGGCAAAAACTCTGGGTTTTGGGCCCCAAAGCCAACTGACCTTCAGAGGCTCACCTCTGCCCCAGCACAGGGACCTGAGGAGGAAGAGCCACAGGCCATGGCCAGACAGCAGCTAGGAGTCACTGCTGTGAGGAAGACACTTAACTTCCGACACACAAGCTTAAATATCACATGGTTTCTCTTATACAAGAAACCCAAAACAGAAACAATTTAAAGAGCAAAAGAGAAGATAGACAATAGGAAACAGGGAGATCTTTCATAAATGGGAAGGGGATCTAGAGATGGAGGGAGAGGGGAAGGGGAATTAAAACAATGAAGATATATTAGGTACATGTACCTAGCAATGAATGTAAACACTATGTACTACAAACACACTAAAAAAACAAAAAGAAGACCCTCAACTTTTCTCCCCAAGGTAAAACCTGTGCCAAGCTCACTGGGGCTGCAGTTTGCTCTGTCTTCAGAGTTCACACAGTGAGATTCTACCCACGCTGGCATACGAAGATGAGCATACACATCATTCTGTATACTTCATACTGATTTCAGGCAACGAAGCCTGTATTTCCAACTGTTGGAAAATGACAACAGGCTAGCTCTCCTAATGCATGGACAGACATAGAGCCTGAGAAACATACCAGTAGCCCAGGACACCATGGAGTGCTCAGGGACCTGAGGCTCAAATCATAACTGGGGCCCCGGCCACACAGCCTTTCTATAAAGTTCTCACCCAAGTTCATCCAAAACGATGATTTCTTTAATGAACCTCAAATTTCCCTGAAGGACCCCTTTCACTCTGGCTTATTTTCTCCCTTACAATTGGCAATGTTTTGGGGAGATGTTGAACAGCAACTATAACACTAGCAAAAAGGAAAGAAAAGAAAATCTTAGCATCTGACACAGGGTCCTGTCATCATGGGAAATCTCAAAGACAATATTTTTAACTGCATTCTTTCCCTTCCCAACCATTTGAAGGAAGAAAAACAAAATAGAAAGACTGGGAATGGGTGGAGAAATCTGGAAATAAACCAGGTCTCAGCATACCATCCAGCCTAGTACAGATCGTTCAATAAATACTCAGACAATTCTGTTCAGGAGCCAGGGACCCCCAGAACCACAGCACAGACAGCTACAGTGATCCCCTAACAACCCAGCCTTGCTCAGGAGGGGCAAGGGGCTGATTAAAACCCCTCTTCCAGACAGCCATCCTCCTCCTAGGGAAGGGTCCAGCCAGCTCCACTCCCTGGAATATCAGCAGCCAGCATCAAGGAAAATCACCCCCACAGGATCCCAAAGCCACTTGAAACCCCAAGTACTCACCATCTCTCCTAGAGGACAAAAATCATTTTTAAAACAAGAAGAATCCGTGGCTGCGCACAGCTCCAAGCAGGCAAACTTGAGGCTGTGGGAGCTCCTGTCTAGGCACAGCTTCCGGAGGAGCCCAGGGTGGTTCACAAGGAGCCAAGATGCCGGAGGTCTCTAGGGTCGCCAAAAGCAGAGCGGTGCGTAGAGGCGCCAATCAGCCCAGGACTGAAGCTGGCTGGGGTTCTTCGGGGTGGTTCTCCCTCCCCAGCAGCCCCCTTGTCGTCTGCTGGCCACAGCTGCAGGGACACACTGCACCCTGACAAAGCCTGCACATGGAGCGCTAGGGAGGAGGGGCTGGGACTAAGTCTGAGATGCCGCAGACTGGTCCCCATGGCAACCTGGCTGGGCTGGTGGTGAGCCCAGAACTGGGAGTCTGGGGCAGCAGATGGAGTCCCACGGCTTTGGGCTCAGGGAGGGCGCAGGAGGGAAGGCTACTTATTTTTCTGGACACCAGTGCCCACCTACCACCTCTGGCTGCAGGGATCTTTAAACACTCCAGTACTGCAAGTGATCCCTTTTTATGGTGTCTGGATGCTTTACTCCATGCATAGGGTGGTTATGGTGGGAAATGTGTTTGCTGAAGGAGATCTTTGTGTGAAAGCTCTGTGTGTGTGTGTGTGTGTGTGTGTGTGTGTGTGTGTGTGTGTTGTGTAGGGAAGATGGTATGTAAACAGCTCAGATGGTTCTGGCCCATAATGTGTGTTTGATTCAAGTGAGGAGAGCTAGGTGACCCTGTAGGGACCCACATCCCCTGGAGCTTGTCAGCTGATAGGAAGTCAACAGGAAGTGTCAGCTCTGGTGGCCAGCACTGTCTAGCCAAGCCCAGAGCTTCCAGTTATCATGCATTCATCCATATATCCACCATCTCACTAAATCATTAGGGAAATGCCCAAAGACCTACCAACAGTACTGTGGTGCCCTCCACAAGGTTGCTGACAAGACAGAGGAGATCACAAACTCTGAAAACTGAAATCTTCACTTGTCACCCTGGCATATCTGTAGGGGACAGAGAGAGAGAGAAAGCGCACTAGCTGGGCATGGTGGCACTTGCCTGTAATCCCAGCACTCAGGAGGCTGAGGCAGAAGGATTGAACGTTCAAAAGTTCAAACCCAAACAAAACAAGATCCTGTCTCCCTGCAGGCCTACATTTCTGACTTGTTCTGGAGTCTTGTGCTGCAGAAGCATGGGAGTGAAGCTAGGTGGCTTGTCCCCACTGTGGGCCCCCCCGGCCCTGTGACTCCTCCACACAGAGTCGGGAGAGAGAAGCCACCCTCAGGGGAGATGCCAGGCACCAGGGAAATGCTTGCTTCTCATTCCTTCCCCTAGAGACAGCTCTGGCTTCATCTTTCTAAATGTCCCCATCTGGCCTTTGAGGTACCAGGAAAATCTCCTCAAATAAAAGCATAGGCTTGTGGTCTGGGACAAATGCCTTTGTCTCCTGAAGAGCCCTTCTGCTCCTGAAGAGCTGAGGCACCAAGTATTATGTGGCTGCCAAAATGGCCAGGAAGGTTATGTAGGGGAAACATGGCAAGATCTTAGAAACTGTGGTTACTACTTGGCAAAAATTATCTCTGGAAGTGTGGGGGCAGGGAGAGAGCATATGGAGGACTGTGTACAATGTCCCTCTTTTTCCTCTTGTTGTGATGAAAAATGTGTGGTATACTAAAACCAGGAAAGAAGGGAATTTCCTTCATTTTCAGAGCATTTATTATGTTCCACACACTATCCATAGGTGCCTTAATCTAACTGTGCAAATTCAGGTCTTTTACCCAAAACAAACAAACACTCAACTGTCTCTTAGAAAAAGGCCACTTCATCTCCTAAAACACTGAGGAGGAGCAAGCATGTCCACATTTCCAAGATGTACCCCAAGTCCTGCCCCAAGGAAGCCCCCCGGGGTGCCAGCCACATGTGAACCTGGCCACGACACAAGGAAATCAGCTCCATAGTGTGGATTTTTGTGTTCTGAAATCCCAGCAAAGAAAACTATCTCTGCTTGAGGTATGAGCAGTGTGTTTCCCCACCACATGCAGAAAAATGTCAGAAACACTTTAACTGCAAGGTTCATATGCCGAGTTTAAAGATGTCCCAGTGGCTACCTAATGCCTATGGGACAGTTTACTATGGAAGGGTACAAAGGCCAAAGTGCCTCTTCCTAAGAGCCAGACACACTCTCCTTTCTCTATAGCAGTTGCCCACATGCTCTTGACATGTTGTAGGATTCACGGGAATTTCTGTGGGCCCAGCACATACAGACTCAAGCCCTCTTCCGCTGATCCCCATCCTCAGATCTGATTCCCAGGAGAAAAAGCAGGTGGCAGCACATTTGTTCCAGATTCTCAAGCTAGTCTCCTCAGCTGGGCCAGCCTTCAGTATCAGATGCAGCCAGAAGGTATATGCTATTCCAGCCTGCTGGGCCCATCCTGGGAATGGCAGCCTCTTCCAAGATGCTGAAGCAATCTGCTGGACAGCGACAAACCAAGCAGTGTCCTGGAGATGAACACACACCTGCCTTAAGCCTCAAGTGGATGTGCACACCTGTAATCATAGTACTCTGGGAAGCTGAGGCAGGAGGATCACATGTTCAAGCTCAGCTAGTCAACTAAATAGAATAAAAATAAAAAAGGGTTGGGGATGTAGCTCAGTCTAAAGGCCCTAGGTTCAATCCCCAGTACCGGAAGAAAGAAGGTAAGGAAGAAGGAAAGAAAGAAAGAAAGAAAGAAAGAAAGAAAGAAAGAAAGAAAGAAAGAAAGAAAGAAAGAAAGAAAGAAAGAAAGAAAGAAAGAAACCCATCTCAAAACAGAGTTCTTGTTCTGTATGAATGGACAAAAAGGAAGGAATAAAGTATTATTATACATTAAATATTAAATAAAATCATTTGCTAAATATTTATATACTTAATAAGTAATAACTAGTTTAAAACACTTTGTACATGCTGGCCCCTCACATGAGGACTTACTTCATTTGCTCCCAGAAAGGTGCATCCTAAATCCTAGTTCACAGATGAGGAAACTGAGTCTCCAAGGAGGTGGGTGGCTTAGGCCAGGCTGCACAGCAGGATGTGGTAGTGCCTGGTGGCCATTTCTCTTCTCCTGGTTTGGCTGGTTCCTACTAGCCCTGTGTATAACTCTCCTAGCACAGCAATTCCAGGTGAGAGTTCTCCTTCCTGGGTTCCTGGTCTCATGGACCTTAGCACCAGCCCCAGTGGCTCTGGAGGCACCCACCTGGCTACATCCTGATGACCATGTGTGTAGGACCACCCATGGGCACACACATGAACATTTGAGCACATATGTTTGAGCATATTCTATCCATGTACACAATACATGTGCATGTTCACAAGCATGAACAGACGTGTTTGCACACATGCATGTGCCTGCACTCCCACAAACCTCATGCCTTACACATCCTCTTCAACCTCACAGTTCCACTATGACAAATCCAGGCCTTTCTAAATGAACATACCAAAAAGAGTAAGTGGCAAGATATTCCTGGCTTGTTTTTTTTTTTCTTTTTTGGTACCAGGGATCGAACTTGGAACTTTGCATTTTTGAGGCAGGTGCCGGAACCACTGAGCTAAATCCCCGGCCCTCTGGCCTGTTTTAGACGCTAAAGATAGCCATGAACTGAATGGATAAACAGAACCCTGGCCCTAAAGCTGCAGGACAGACACATCGTGGTGGTAGTGCCTGCTTGGCTTGTGGCTGCCAGCCCCTGACTCCCCAGTCAGCTGCAAGACTCTACACTAGCTGGTCCCTTGAGGGTCCCACACACCCCGCCTAGTGACCCCTCTTCCCCTGCTGGCTCTATGTAGGATGGGTAAAGGGATCATGGCCCCTGGAATGTGGGGTTGAGACCTGAGATGCTGGCAGGACAGTGTGGCTATGTGGCCAAATTCAAGGACACTCACGACACCGGAAAGACACTGACATGCGTCATTTCCTCCCTGGTGATCTCATTTGTGAAATGACATCTGTGCAGCACTAGTGCCCTCCCAGTTGGCTTTCTAGCTCTGTGCAGGGCTCCAGTGCTCATAGGGGATGCACCCCAAGTACTTCATCCTATCATGATCCAGCCAGCAAACCCAGGGGACCTACGCCAGGGAAACACTCTGTGTTTCCACTCAGGCTCCTCCACTACTGTTGGTGTTTTTAAGGCCCAAAGTAAATGGTGGTGAGGACAGCATCAGCACATCCATGTGCTGGGATGGGAGCGGGCTGCTAAAACCTGTACCAGCCCTTCCTCAGAAAAACCTCATGTTACAAAGCCTCAATTCCAGGCACTTCCCCACTTTGTAGAGAGCACTGGGGACTCAGAAGCCAAGGAACAAGGAATGCAGCAGCCAGTGAGTGCTGGGCACACCCTCTGCAGACAAGGAAACAGAAATCTCAACCCTATGAGTGCAAAGAACCGAATTCTGCTGACAACCTGAATGAGCTGGGAACCAGCTTCTCCCCTACAGCCTCCAGAGAGAATGCAGCTCCACTGGCATCTTCATCTCCAGGCCAGGAGATCCAGATTGGACATAGGAGAGGAAGAACTGCAAAAAAATATATTTGCATTGTTTGAAGCCACAAGTTTGTGATCATTTATTAACCCCAGCAATAGAAACATAACAGAATTTTTCTTGCAGCTAGAGAAATTGAGAAATTCATCTAAAACACTAAAAACCCAAGAGCTGAGACAAATTTGAAAAAGACTAAGGTGGATTTGTGGGTTGAATTATGTCCTTCAAAAGGTTATGTCCTAGACCTAACCCATGGACCTGTGAACCTGAACTTATTTCAAAATAGAACCTTTCTAGGTGTGATTAAATTAAGGATCTTAAGATGAGATTATCTTGGATTCATACAGGTCCTTAATTCAGTGACTGGTTTCCTTTTAAGAGAGAGGACACACAGGGCCTAAAGATGGTGGCAGAGATTGAAGATATTCGAACACGCAGTAAGGAACATGTGGAGCCACCAGAAGCTGGAGCAAAGCCTAGAACAGATCCTTCCTTAGCATCTTCCGAGGGAGTGGGGCCCAGACAACACCTGGATTTTGGGTGTCCAAGGCTATGGAAGAATAAATTCCCATTATTTTAAGCTACCAAGTTTGTGGCAACTTGGTCCATATCCCCAGGAAATGGATATGAGGGAATGGGTACTGTAAGAGTCCAAGAAGTGTTGTTAATGATGATAATGTACTGTACAGATGGAGACCAATGACAAATATACCAAGAACAACCCAGAATATACCTTGGGGCACAGGAACAGATGTGGCATTATAGACCTGTGGCAATGGATGGACTTGCACTGTGTGTGTGTGTGT